AATATATACAGTGTGTTATTTGTTGAAACTGTACTTCCGATTTGATTTGAAACTGTCTCATTGCTATCTGTTTATCAATAAAATTTTGAAAAAAACTACTGTGATAAAATCAGACTGGTATATCAAAAACTCACATCTGAAGATCACTGGGACAGATTATAAGATGTAGACACAACTCCAACCATCCTAAATCACCTTATATTTGATAAAGGTGTGTAACCTGTTCATTCAAACAAAGATAGCCTCTATAATAAATGATGATGGAACAACCGACATGCTGAAAACTAAAACTAGACCCTTGTCTATCAACATGCACTACACTAACATGAAAATGGATCAAAGATATAACTGAAAGCAAATTCAAAATATTTTATCAAACAAAATTAAAGGAAAAGATGAGTAGTAATATTATATGCTCATTGTGCTCACTTCAGCAGCACATATAATAATATTATATGTTCATAAAAATTTGAAATAGAAAATCAAGAAAGCAATATTTATCATAGCTATGAATATATTAAATTATTGAAATAATTTTAACAAAGGAGGTGATATCTCTACAGTGAATTTTTAAATGTTCTTGAAAGAAACTGAAAGAGACAAAATTGGATGGGTATCCTATATGTATAGACTTAAAGTATCAGCATTTTTGAAAGAAACCAATGTGCTCAAATTGATTTACAGGGACAGGGAGATGGCTCAGTGGAATATGCGCTTCCCTGGCAAGCGCAAGGGCCTGAGTTCAATCCCCAGTTCCGCAAAAACAAAAAACAAAACAAAACAAAAAAAATCACTGACTTCAAATTGATTTACAGATGACATAAAATATATAACAAAGTATAATTGGCATTTTCCATAATGAGAAATATTATTCTAAAATTTATACGGAACTACTGAAATACCTGAATAATCAAAGCCTTGTTGAGTAAAGTGAAAGAAGTAGTAAACATTAAAAAATCTGAGTTCTAAACAAATTATAGATTGGCAGTAATCAAAACATCATGGCACTGGCATTAAAATTATATATAGAGAGACCAATGCAACAAAGTAGAGAACCTAGAAAATTATACATCTAGATCCAAGAGATTTTTTTGAGTTTATAAAATTATGTTTATTTCTCCAATCAAAAGTTGTCCCTATAATACATGAGTCTTCATTTTTTCTTTTTGTATGGCTATATAGTTTGAATGATTACCTTATATCTAAGTCTGCTTTACATTTTGTTCTCCAAAGTAATGTTACTGTTCACACTGACAAAGAAAATACACTGATAATAACAAAATCAGAAATCATGCACAGTACCACAGACAACAGAAGAGTTCTCAGCCAGTGGTTCTTCTACTTCTTACCAAAATAAGATAGCAAAAACAAAACACCCTGGAAAACTCTCAGGGAAAGTCCTCAAAGTTATCCAAGTTCCCCTGGTGTTCAAGGAGTCAAAGGCTGTGATCCTTCTTACTTCTTTTTCTTTGGGGCATATAATTTTTCTTCAAGTGGGACTGGGACAATGCCTTCTCACTCCTTTACTTTCTGGGCTAGAGGGTGTTTCACAATATTTGTTCTAATCACATCAATGTCCTGAGACAAGTGCTCCATTATGCTCTGTACGGTTGTAGTTGGTGCATAAAAATCCATCAAGATGGATCCACCTCTCCAGTGCTGCAGACTGTGGCAGAGATCTTATAAGGACATGTTTGTTCACCCAGGTTTTCCAAGTTTTGTACTATAGCTCCTTCATCCATCAGGACTTCTATTGTTCATTTCAAAGAAGCAGCAGTATCTGGTTGAGCATGGCTTCCAGAATCAAAGCCAGCTCCTAGCAGGGCATGCCTGAAAGCTCCGTGCACTTCGGTCCAAACCCAGTAGTGCTGGGATGTGGAGGGACGGGGATTGGGCGGGCAGAGTGGGGACCTGAGAATGACTGGGATGAAAGGCTCCCAGGCAGCAAAAGAGGAACCAAGAGATTTTAAACAAATGCACTGGGAATATAAAGTGCAGAAAAGAAAGTCTTTTAAATACATACTGCTAGGAAAATTACATACACACAACTACAAAAAGGAATAAAGAGATCCAGTCCTAGCCCAGGCCCTGTGAGTGTGTGGGAGAGCTTCAAGCTACCCTGCGCCAGGGGAACCTGCTGCTCCCAGCACAGACACAGCATGTGTGAGACCCTCTTATACCCAGTTGGGATGCACACCACCACTCGCAGCAACCCCCCGCCCCGCCCACTGAGTAGCAATTTCTGTCGTGTTACAGGAACACCCAGACCCACTCCAAGTTCAGGCCTGGTGAGTGTGTGGGAGATTGTCCAGTTACCCTGTGCCAGTGGGACCTCTGGGTCCCAGCCCAGGCACAGCTTGGGTGAGACCCTTTTCCACTCACCTGGGATGCCCCCCAAAACTCTTCAGCACCCCCCCAAACCAGCCTGCTCAGGGAGAATATCTGCTGCGTTCTGGGGACCCCCAATTCCAGTTCTAGCCCAAGACTGGTGAGTGTGTGGCAGAGCTGCCTCTCCCCCCTGCTCTAACTTGTCCCCTCCAAACTCAGATCAGGCCAGGCATAATGGACTAGGGTGAAAACCTGTAGCAGCAATCCTTGCAGAGAGCATAGGGGACAGAACCAACCATCTAGTCCATGAGGAGAACATCTTGACAGAGGGGCACAACAGGTTCACTCCCAAGGGCAGTAGCAGGAAGGAGCTGAGAACAGCAGCCAGAGCCAAGACAAGCACAACTGGATAAATCCAGACTTTGTAGATCTGCACCTGAATTTCAGGAGATTCTAAGGTTATAACTGCAACAAAGCTCTACAACATAGGTCATAAGAAGGTGTTACACAAAATGAAAAGAAGGAGCAAAATGCAATCTCTGAATGCAAGTGGACCCATAATAAGTGCAGAAGAAAATAACAAAGAACAAATTGGTAATCACACAGCTGAAAAAAAGAAATCAATAGCTTCTAAAATAAACAAAAAATTGCAGAAAGGTATAGAGTAACTAAGATTAGAAATGAAAAAAGAAATCACTCAATTAATAACATCTGCAGTAATGAATCAAATGCAGAAATATATGGAGGAAACAAAATGCCCGCCCAGATCAAGGGCAGAGGACACTACCTCAGCTAAAATGTACAAATTAATAGCGTCGATAGTAAATAAGCAATAGCAGAAAGTAATAGAGAAATTAACCAGAATTTTAGGAAATAAGAAAAGAATTCAAGGAACTCATAGCATCTGAAGAAAAGAATCAACAGAAACATAGGGAGGAAATCCAATCTGAAAAATACACTGAAATAAAAGAATTAATAACTGCTTCTAAAGAAGATAATGATAAAAAACAGAGGAGATCAGAAAAATGACGGATTCCTTGAATGAGCAATACAGGAAAGAAATAGAGCACATGAAGCAGAGTCAACGAGATAGAGAGAAATTTAAAATCTTAATCACAAGATTGCAAAACTGTTTAAGTGAGAGTGAAGACAGAGTTTCAGATCATGGAGAAGCTGCTGCAGCTATTGCAAAATAAGAAAAGATCTCTTAAAAACAACGAGGATGCAGGAAAAAATAATCCATCACTTGCAAGAAGATGCAAACATGAACAATGTGAGACAAATAGGTATCAAGGGGAAAGAAGGAGTCAAAATAAATGACACTAAAAAGATATGGGCAAAAGTAATAACAGAAAACATTCCAAATGTGAGGAAACAATATGACATTCAGGTAACCATAGCATACAGAATAAGTAACCTCAATACAATTAAAAACACATCGAGACATATAATAGTCAAAATCTCAGAAATTCAGCACAAGAATAATATTCTGAAAGCCATTAGAGAAAAAAAAGTAGATCACATTCAAAGGAAAAAATGATCAGATACACAATCGACTTCTATTCACAAACCATGAAGGTAAGAAGAGAATGGAGCAGACTACTTCAAGTCCTCTATGAAAACAAATTCCAGCCCAGTCTACTATACCCTGCAAAAATCTCTTTCAAGTTTAATGGAGGAGTGAAATACTTCCATGACAAAGAACAACTAAAGAATTTCATGATGACAAAGCCAAACCTACATAGGCTATTAAAAGATGTCCTAGAGAAGGACCAAAATGATCAGAACTCCACGAATGAGATGAGAATCAACCAACTAAATAAGGCAAGCAATTAAACACAGGAGAAAAAGGAGTAAACGACAGCAGGAAAATAACATCTCAGTCGTAAGTCAATATATCTCAATTCCAACCATCAATGTAAATGGACTCAATTCAACAACTAAGAGAAATAGACTGGCACAGTGGATTAGGAAACAAAATCCAATAGTATGCTGCATATGAGAAACACACTTAACTCATAAAGACACTCATAGGCTGAAAGTCAAAGGATGGAATGAAATATTACATGCCCCAGCACCTCAGAAAAAAAGTAGGAGTCACAGTCCTATTCTGAGACAGTCTCAACATCAAATCAAGAATGATCAAGTGAAATAAAGAAGGCCACTATATACTGGTTAGGGGAAAAATTCAAGAGGACTAGGTAACACTCAAAAATATGAATGCACCAAACATGAGAGCACCCAACTATATCAAGCAAATCATAATGGACATGAAAAATCTAATTTCCAACCACAATCTTAACAGGAGACCTTAACAAATGCTTAACCCAAAAAGATAGATCAACGAGACAAAAATTAGCAAAGAAATGACAGAACTGAATCAGAGCTGGAAAAAATGTACTTAGTGGACATATACAGAGTGTTCCAGAGAAACACAGCTTAATGCAAATTTTTCTCAGCTGCACATGGTTCATTTTCTAAAATAGACCACATACAGGTCTATAGGTCATGCGTAAATATATGCAATAAAACAGAAATTATCCCATGCATATTATCTGACCACAGTGCAGTGAAACTGGAAATAAATGACAAAAGAAACCAGAAAAACGGCCTTAAAACATGGAAATTGGTTTTCTTGGAGCTGTCATGAGCCAGCAAAACCGGGTGTCGGACGTGCGGCCCGCCGAGCCCGCGTTCCTGTCTCGCTTCAAGGAGCGAGTCGGCTACCGGGAAGGGCCCACCGTGGAGACGAAGTGCTGTTTGACTACTTCTGGTCTAACTTGCATGAGGTGAGAAGTGTTGGTGAGAAGCAGAGGTGACAGCCCAGTGCTGCCTGGGAGTGACAGCAGTACCCACAGCAGAGGGCTACTGATACAGTAGCTGCCAGGCATCCTGCTAAGCCGGAAGTGGAGCCCACTGGACAGGGACCCCAGGGGAACTGGCAGATAGACCTGTTCCCTGAAATGTCAAGACAATCCAGCCGCAGCTCCCAGATGAAGAGGGTGATCACAGTGACAAAGAAGATGAGCGGCCCCAAGTGGTGGTTTTAAAAAAGGGAGACTTGACAGCTGAAGAAGTTATGAAAATTAAAGCAGAAATAAAGGCTGCCAAAGCAGATGAAGAACCAGCCCCAACTGATGGAAGAATCATGTATCGAAAACCAGTCAAGCGGCCCTCAGAAGAAAAATACTCAGGTTTAACAGCAAGCTCAAAAAAGAAGAAAAAAGAGGATGAAGTAAATAAGCAAGATTCCCTTAAAAAGAACTCACCAAAGCAAATAAAAAATAGCAGCCTCCTTTCTTTTGGGAATGATGATGAAAACGAGTGAGCGTGAACGTTTTAGCTTAGTCTCCTTTGAAAGTACAGGAAATATTTTTTAAAATAATATATTTCCTGTTTTTTAAGTAAGATTTTTTCCTAGTTATATAAGTTCATTATAGAAAATTTAGAAAATACAGCAAAACATAGGGGCCAGGGAGATGGCTCAGTAGGATAAGCACTTGACTGGCAAATGCAAGGATCTGAGTTCAATCCCCGGTTCCGCAAAAAACAAACAAAAAAAAAAAAAAAACAGCAAAACATAAAATGAAAACTGTACCCTTTGTTAGCATTCAGACTAGAAATAACAACTACAGTATGTGGATGTTAACCACAACTAATGTTTAGATTTTG